CCCCAAAACCCCAAAACCCCAAAACCCCAAAAACCCCAAAACCCCAAAACCCCGCTATAACTGAAGTAATAAGTTAGCTTAATTATGAAATAAATCAAAGATTTTCTTTATTTCTCTCTTGCACTTTTGACTTCTGTGAATGATGTAGGATGTGATTAGTGAAATGCTGATTCTTTGATTGCACTTTTTATCTATGACTCTCACTTTACTTTCTCTCTAGTGAATTATGGCAATAAGCTTATGTTATTTATTAAGAAGTATTGATGTTAGGTATCTTTTTCTACGTAGTCTCTTAAGTCTGCTTGTTGACTTTGTTCTGCACAAATTTCGCAAGATTTTATGTCTTAGAGGCAAGGGCTTAAAATGATGTCTAATTTTTTAATTTATCAATTCTCTAATTAGTACAGTTAACAGTAGATTTTGTGTGAGTTGATATTTATAGTTTTGGCTGAGACTGTGTTAATTCTTGCATCCCTAGTTATTTATGTTTATGGTTCAGATACTTGTTTAATCTTTTGTCTCCATTGGTTTGATTGTTAGGATTAATCAAGTTTAACTTATTTTCATCAAGAGAAGAAAAAGCTACTCTTCTATTTTTTGCTATATTTCCTTTGATTGACTTGAGTAGTCTCTTATGCTTCTCATTAATTATTTTATTTTGCATGTCTTATTAAGGTTCTTCAATGGTCATTTATAGTTTTTACTAACCTTCAACTAATGTTTTAGAGCTACTAATGTTATTCAATTAAAGTGTTGAATTAGGTCTATAAAACTATAGATCTACTCTAAATGGGCTTTGCTCAGATGGCTTTAGTACTGAATTTTGGCATAAAGCGCCTGTAACGTTGAAGTTTGTAACACTTCTACAATCTCTATTCAGTTAAAAAGCCAAATCTTAGTTTTTTAATTTGCTAGAGTGGTTAACTTTCAGCAATTTTTCTTAGCCAGATGCAATCTAATTAAGTGAAGTAGTCGATTTTATAGAATCGTAAGCATTCATTTAGGTTTTTATGTTTCTGTGATGATTACTGTTACTTTTTAGAGTTTGGTTGAGAAGTTAGTGAACGTTCTAAATCTTTTGCTCTAAGTTTGTACTAGGTGCTGTTTAATTAAATTCTGACAGCTTTCCGTTAAATAGTAAAGTAGTAGAAGATTGATATCTATCATTGATGGACGGAGTTCTATCTCGATCGCCAAGTCTGTTTGCCTGATTTAAATTTATTATTGGGCAGAACTGGTCAGATCCTATTTTTAGGCATCTACTTGAACCCCTTATTCTCTCTGGAGATGAAATTTGAGAATTGTAAATCAATGATTTCTTTTTTGAATTACTCGCTTATGGATATTGTTTCTTATTAGAATCAAATGAGAAAAATATACCTCTGCTCACTGATGAAGGTCTAAAAGAATTTACAATATTCTTATCTTCCGTTTATTGCTATACTAACAATTTCGAATTATGAATAAAGTCTAAATACTCTTGGCTGACATTTGCATTTATCCTGTATTGAGCTTTTTCATTAGAGTTGAATTTCTCTGTTTCTAATGCATTGTATTCCAGGTTCAATTGAGCCTTATCAGCTGTTTGGTAGATGTTTTTTTTGGAAAGCACATTTAGAAGGATAGATTGATTATCAGGACTTTTTGGTGGCTTAATAACAGGAATTTGTTACTTTTGATTTGGTTAGATAAATTTATTAAACTCTAATTTGTCTCTTGAGTGATTATTCTTCGCATGTTTCATCATTAAATATTTGCGATTGTTTTGGTTTTGAGAGTATCTGGTTGATCTCTCATTAGGCATTGTCGGCACAGTCTCTGACTTATCTGTTTCCATAATAATCCTTCCTTCGTTTTGTTCATCATACATTTCAGGAAAAATCATAAGTTCTATTTCTTAAGTTTTAGTTTTTTGAAGTTATTTCTGAATTTCCTCCTCGACTTACTATCTAACCTGAACTTCATATTCCCTGAATATTTTATCTACATTATCTTCAATATTCACTGAACTCAAGATATCAAACTAACTCTCGCCTCTACTAAAGAGGAGTTTACTCCTATCAGTATTTGTTTTATTATAAGTACAATCCTCAGCCTCATCACCCAAACCCATAGTTATGTGTGATTCATCTTGTGAAATAGCAATTCCTAAGTTCAAAGTGTTTTACTCAATCAAAGGCTTCGGTGGCTCAAAGTTGACAGTCTAAGTATCCTCAGTAATGATTGTTATGATTTAACTCTAATTAGTTTATTCGTTAGGTTCTTAGGTTATCATATACTGAAGAGGCCTTGGAGGAATCTTAGTTGAAGATACATTAGTTAAGAATTTTCGTAGATGTGAATATGATGGTGGTGATAACCCCTATTTGATAGACTTTGCTTTTGCATTATTCTAAATTATACTTTAAGAAGTAGTCTATTTGTTTTAATAATTCTACTCAACAATGACTTTTCTACCATTTGATGGCTTATCTGAGTATTACTTTGATAAACTAAGCGAATTCATAGTAATTTTAGGGGAGTGGTATTCCTTTGGCATTTATCTAATTAAAGACATTATCTGCAGTTGAAATTTAAATATTAACGAATATTATTGATTCTAACTTTAAAAATTAGACGCATGGGGTTTTGGGGTTTTGGGGTTTTGGGG